GGAGGGGGGGGGATCCGACCAGGGCCCAAAGGGGTGAGCATTGGGGGTATCTCCCATGTGATTCGCGTGCGTGGCCTGCCCTTCGACTGCACGCGGATGGACCTGCAGCATTTCTTCGCCTCGGTGGGCCCGACGGCCAATGGGATTTTTTTCGTTCATCGCATGGACGGACGCTCGAGCGGGGAGGCCTTTGTGGTGCTGCACAGTCAAGAGGCAGTGCGCCAGGCGCTAATGCAAGACAAGCAAAAAATGGGCTCGCGCTGGCTGGACATCTTCGAGTCCCACCCGGGGGAGCTGTTCTCTCGCGTGGGCGCGGCGGCCGTGACGCTGGGCGCCAAGGATGACGTGGGCTATGCAGGAGTGTTGAAAATGCGGGGGCTGCCCTTCCAAACCACCGTCCCCGACGTTGCCACCTGGTTCGGCTCCTACCGCGTGGCGCCTCACGGGGTATTCATCACCATGGGCGCGGACGGACGGCCAACGGGGGAGGCCTACGTGATCTTCGAGACGCCTGAGGACGCAGTCGCGGCCCGAGAAGCCTTGAACAAGCAGACGATGAACAACCGTTGGATCGACTTGTATCTGGCTTCGAAGGGTGACGTCTATACTTCCACGGTACATTCGCCCATCGTGGGGCAGGCCCATGGCGGGTGCCCGGTGTACGCGAACACGCCCATGACCTGCGCGCGGCTCCGCGGTGTTCCTTCCACAGTGACGGAGGAAGAGCTCTTTCGGTTTTTCGCCGGCTTGCAGGTGATTGGGCTCTACATCTGTCGCGACTCCTCGGGGAGGGCCACGGGGGAGGCTTACGCCGAGTTTGGGTCCTTGGACGACTGCCAGCAGGCCATGAGCCGTAACCGAGACTATATGCCCGGGGGGGGGGTCGAGATCGACCGATCGAGGTCACGGCGGCGAGTAAGGAGGAAGTGTTGCAGTTGATCGAGCTGGAAAAAACGGGTGGCGTGCCCCCCACGGCCCCGGTCCCGGGGGGTGGGGCCGGGGGAGGGTATGGGGGGGGAGGGGGAGGCTCGTATTCGGGCGGGAGGCCTGCAGGTGGCTACGGTGGGGGGGGATACTCCGGCTCGACATATGGATCGGGTGGGGGGGGAGGGTATGGCCAAGCGTCTTACGGAGGGTCTTCGTACGGGGGCTCGTCGGGATATGGCGGGTATGGCGGTGACTACCAGCAGAGCAGTGGGAGCTATTACCAGGGCGGGTACGGCTCAAGTGGAGGCGGGTACGGCTCAAGTGGAGGCGGGTACGCCGGGGGATATGGACGCTATTGAGTAAGTTGGTGTTTGGTGGACCCTGGGTAAGGAGTGAGTGAAGTGTCGTGGGGGGTTGGCGGACACGCGGCGGGAAACCGTTAATTCTGGAAAAATACGGACGTGTCGTGTGCTTTTCCTTGCAGTAGGAGTGCGACGGGAGGGCGTGGGAAGACCCGGCCGGTGCCAGTAGGAGTAGAGCTCTCCGGTGTTGGCAGACAAGGGCAGGGCACAGGGGAAAAGAAGAGACGGAATAGGCGGAGGTCTGTGGTTGTGGAAGATGGATCGATGAGGTCGATCCATCTTCCTTTTGCGTTCCGTGTCTCATTTTGAAGCTTGCAGAAATCCGCCAAATGGCACAGGCAATCGCAGAGAATATACGGGGCATGAGGACGTACTACAGCCACTGTACACTGCCTACATCTCCGCGGTGCTACCTCCTACCTGACGTTCAGGCCTTCATCTCCCATGAAACATGAGGTTTTCGCCCCGTCGCCGACTTTCCTTTGTCGTAAAAGACACCACCACCCCTTTCCCCACCCTACATCACTCCATCTTACAACCCCCGAGCCCCACCATTTCCCTTATTTTTCCAATCGATTCGCAGGTCGCCCGTCCGTCTGCCTATGGTACATGCGCTTCCATCCACGCTATCTAGCTACTTCCATCCCATTGTGGCCTCCACCACCGGAAAGGCCTTCTCTGCCACTGCCGCGTGCACAGCCCCCGTGGGATGACCCAAGCACCCTCCCATGAGCACCGTAGGATCCAGCATCAAGTCCAACAAAATGGCGCGGACTCCTCGACGGGTCAAGCGCTCGACCACTCCCCGAGTAGCCCCCTGATAGCGGGCGCTCATGGGCCCCACTCCCAGGAACACCACAGGGGCAGGGGCGGCTCCCAAGGGAGCCTCCGCCGGCTCGTCCCCGGCGCGTGCGGGTCCCTTTGGCGAGGAAGGCCTGATGGGCAGGTCTTTGGCCCGTGTCCCTGCAGGAACCGCGTAAAACTCCAAGACTTTGGACACAAATTGATAATAGGCAGCCGCGTAAGCCTCCACAAAAGTCGAATTTTCTCCCCGCCCGCAGCAAAAATCGTTCGTTCCCAGATTGAAAATCAAGGCGTCTGGACGAAAGGTGCTGGCGTCTACCTTCCAGCGGAAGCCAGGGCTCAACCCTCCCGTGGTCATATTTTTCAACTGATGGGCACTCGCCAACGTGTCTGCAAACCGCTCCGGCATCGTCACTTCCACGGTGCCAGGATGGGGATAGCTCGCGTACACCCCGACGCCTGAGTACGCCTCCACAAAACACTCCGCGTCCAGGCTTTGGCAAAGGGCATGGGCCCATGTCAACACGTAGTTGTTCGTCTCCACACTCCCCACGCAAGGCGCCAAGCCGTCCGCCCCGTATCCGGCAGTTATACTGTCACCGATGAACTCGAGCCGGCGCGTCGACGGGCTGGGGCGGCTAAGAAAGCCATCCGTGCCAAAGCCTAGGACCGTCACGTTGTTAACAGCGGCGTTGTTCGAGAGGAATTGAGCTTCCTGCGTGTGGACCATGGAGATGGTTACGTTGGGCTCAAATCTCAATCCTTGTGCCCCGAGTATGCCGACGTCGGCTAATGTGTAGCTGAATACGCCTCTCAACGTCCTGAATTCTCTCAATTTTCGATGTCGCGCTGTTGGTGAGTCGTAAAAGACCGCAAAACGCGTCCCTACAAGGGAGGAGTCGTCCACCATCACCGTCACAGCTGTGGCATTTTCATCCACCTGAAACGAAGCTGTCACGCCGGGCCAGTCAAATACGACACGCATGTATTCTTCATTCCGTAGTACGCGGCCGCTCCAATTAATGTCATCATCGGTTGCTGTGTAGAAGGAGGGTAGGTCTTGTTGCTTTTGGAAGGAGGGTACCGTGCCCATGCGAGAAGTGATTGCCCAGGCATCTCGGACAAAATTGGACATGACAAAAACAAAAAGCATGAAGGATAGCCATGCAGGTTTCAAATCCACATTCGCCATGACACCTGTAGCATGGAGTTGACCTTGAAGTTAACCGTGTGTAGGTTGAGGACAGAGGCAGGGGCCAGGGTGGACGCTGTTCCTTGCGGTCGCGTCGCGGAGGAAGGGGGGGGCGGGAGGTTATTTTTTGGAGGCCTTCTTACCTTCGGTCAAATTTTACATTTACACGGTATCAGCAAAAAGGGGGGGATCTGTATTGTTGCTATTAAGTAATTTTGAACACGTATATTTCTCCGAACACTAAGATCGGTCTCAAAAGATATAATACTTTATCTACGTTGTGAATTGCGAGATGGGTGTTGAAGAAATGCCGTAAAGTGATGCCATAGTTAAAGTCCTTCGCATACTTCTTGGTCTATTGACGTTCCAGACTGCTTAATTGGTAAATAAAAATCAGCTTTCAACCCTCCAAAGTCAGGAAAAGCTTACGCGATGAGCTGCGTATGCTCAGAAAGGTCTTTCACTGTACGTTACTTTAACCTTTTTGGCATCATTTGCTTCACTTCGCACAATCTTCGATGTTGATCGCACATTTGACATTGTCATTTTTAAGGAAAGGATATTTGTATTTCCTTAGACTTCCTTTTCATTCCACTCAACGCCTCGACGCGACCAAAGCGACGCCTCTTTGAGCCCACTGAGCCGCTGTTTGTCGCAGGTCTTTCTCTCGCTGTGCCACGGTCATTCGAGCTATAAGGGTAGCCCTACTCTCATCCAGGTACAGCGGTAGCACCAAGGGAGCATCATCCTTGTCGGCCTTTCCATCGAGTCTCCTAGTCTCCCTCTCTTGTGGCCCTACTTTGTGCCACAACAGCCATGCGAGGGGCAATTGGCTTCGAATCGCCCCGGATGACAAGGAGAGCTGGCCTTCTTCCAAATCAGCCCCCTCCAGCGTTAAATTGACGACCGCAAATGCATTGTCTCTCCCTCTTTGTTCAGTATTGCTATCCGGAGTTTTGATCTCCACCGCTAGATCGAGCTCTTCCAGGGAGCAACACATCTGTGTGGCAACAACCTGCCGGGTGGCTGTCACGAAGGCCTCCGGATTGTATAGAGCGCCCAGCCAAACACCTCCCAGCGCCGATGATATGTTCTCCTTCCTATTCCTTTCCTTCTCCAGCTTGGAGAGTAGGGCTAACCCATGTTCCACTCTTTGTATGCTGTCAGTGATCCACGCTCCTACACCTCGGTCCACGGCCCCTCGTGGGTGTAAGGCCCTCCATGGCCCCGGAATCTCATCCAATGACAAGGCAGTCACTGTGGCTTCTACCTTTGCGCGGCTCTTTCGTGCATCTGGATCTTGCGTCCTCTCTTGATTGTGGCAGTCGCCGAGAGTTTGCTCCAGGTACCTACACGTCGCATTCAAATCTTCTTGGACTCGCAGTATCATCTCCTTGCCCACTTCCATGTTTCGGCGCAGGCACTGTCGTAGCGGATCGTCCGTGTGTGAATCATCACTTGAAGGGGCGGCGGAGGAGATAGCCGCGAGAGGATAGGGGCTCGGTGTCGGGGTAGGGGTCAAGACACCAGGTTTGATGCCCGGTACCAACGACTGGATCCGCGCCAACCATTCTTGAGATCGTTGGAGGAGGGCTTTTGACAAGGAGGCTTTCTGTCCCATTCGTGCCTCCGCCACTCCTTTCTTCTCTTCCAGGCACTCCTCAGGATCCACCACATCCCTGACCACATCCTCCCACAAATCTCCAACTTTCCTCGCAATGCGTGCCCCGACCGCGGTGGATAAATCCGCCTCAACTGAGGCAGCCAAACCCAGCCATGTCGTTGAATTTTGGCTCGGTAGATCTTCTAGCCAAGCCATGTAGTCCGCCCGACGTCCCTCCCTCCCTTCCACCCGCCCCTTCCGTGCAGCATCACCCTCCGGCAAGGACACTGTGAGATCCGATACCAACGGGAAATCCATGTCGAAACATGCGGGGCGGAAGAAATCGGAAATGAAACTTTCCAGGACGGCTTGGTCGACGATGTTTTCCACCTTCCCACCGTAGACGCTTTGCCCCAACAGGCTTTGGATCGCGGCCCATGGAATGTCCTCGGGCGAGATATGCCAGTCCTTGCTTGGTTGCTTTCGGTCCCTCCCTCCCTCCCGCTCTATCCAATCCTCCACCACATCCAACGCAGCCAAGGCGTCGGCCTGAGTAAACTCGTACTTGCGTGACCAACCCCAAGGGAGGTAACGAAGACGTTCTTGTAAGATTGCGTGCAACCATGCCACCAGGAAGAAAAGACGGGCCTTTTCCACACATCCAGAGTCCAGCCTGGGGGCAGGTATCTCATAGAGGAGACGAAGGACGTGGGATTTCACGCCTGTCGGTGCCTCCAGCACCATCACATCACTGAGACGAAGGAGGGAGGACGGGAGGCCCGGATGAATTTCCGAGGTCAAGAAAAGACGGAAGGACGGGTGGGGTTGCGAGAGGTTGTGCAGCCTCCTCTCCAGTTTTTCAAGCCAGTGGGGACAGAGGTGGATATTTCGCAGCAAAACCCATGTCCCTCGCTGGGCACCGGCTGCGATGTATCGGTCGGCCAATGCGTACCCTTCGACAGACCCCATGGCGACGGAACGGAGGCCCTTTCCCCCCTCCGCCTCCGCCAAAGAGTCCACCGTCCTCGAGGCGTCGAAACCGGCTTCGGCAGAGAGAAGGATAGGTCGCGCTGCCGTGCTCTGCTCCCGGACCACCTCGGCTAGATCGAAAAGTCCTCGCCATGGGAAATCCTCACCGAGGACAGAGGACACGTAGGTCTCCATCACGAACATGAGGCGATCGGGGCGCAGGGCTTTCAGGAGAAGTAGGTGAAGGAAAGCGCGCCGGGTGGCAGGAAGGGTGCTTGTGTTTTGAACACCAGGCATGGAGGCAAGCATGTCCTTCGCGTGGCCGTCAGTAGAGGTTGTGGACACAGGCAGCGCCACGTCGAAATCAGGTACCTCGTTTTCCGGGCGGGGGGAGGTCATGAAAGCCACCCAGGAAGGCCCGTCCCTGGACACGGCCGGCAGGAGGAACGCAAAGGAGGGCAGCAAGGACAGCGCTCGAAGCTCTTTCGCTTGCGTGATGTCGATTCGGATCCCGGGAATGAGGTACTCGTCCTCCTCTGCGCCTTCAAGTGCTTCCCTCCTTGTGAAATTTACAAGCCCGCTCGAGGCGGCGGAGAACGGCCCCTTGTATAAACACTCCAACTCCTCTTCCGTAGGCATAAGGGAGTCCAGTCGCTCTTCCTTTCCATGAACATTCGCCCTACCTTCCCTATCTTGACCCGCACCCTGCAAATGGATTAAGGTCAAGCGTAGGGCAAAGGCAAGCTGATCTTCCTGAAGGAGACCCTTGCTCACACGTCGGCAGACTTCAGCAAAGAAAGAGAGCTCTAAGTCTTTGATCCGCTCTTGAGTTCCTTGATCTTTGCCTTTCTTCCGCACCAGTTCATCGGGGGGAGACCTCGCAAGGACGTTGTCAAGGATGGATAGAAGATATTGAGTGGGATATTGGTACAGGAAGTGGACTGAAGCCAAGCGTTCCATGACAAAGAATACTTGTGTTACTGCGAGGGCGAACGGTTCGTAGACGTCCGAAACATATTTGAGCTCATCCATTACAGCTGTTGTAGAGGCGACATCCTTCTCCAAATCCGCCGCCTCCGCTTTTAATTCCTCCAAGGCTTTCAGGACGCGGTCGTCGTCCAGAATGTTACATTCCGCGGCGGAGATCTCCGTCAAGAGCCCCTCCTCCAATTCTCGGAGGCGCACGTTCTGTTCCCCTTGCAAGCGCAAGATTTCTGTTCGCCGCTTGTCTACATCGGGGCGTTCCGCCCGAAGAATGCGGGACAGAGCCTGGGAACAGAGGGAGGCCGGAGTATCGGTGAAGTTGACCAGTGAAACACGTGAGCATAGGTCAGGGGGAAAGCGTGCAGAGGAATTGCGAGTGATGAGGACGACAAAAAACTGCGGTGAAAAGTCTATATCCTCGTTCCCGAGACGCAAAAGGGTCCGACCCCCAGTCCTCTGAAATTCCTTGTTGAGAACAGGGTTGAGCAAAGGATCGATGCGTTCCTCTACATCTTGGATCAACAAAGGCGTCCCGAAGCGAACAGCACTTGCCAATACTTTGAGGAAAGCACCGTCTGCAAAGGACGTAGTCTGCACTTTGCGAGACGCAAATTTCTGCAGAAGAAATTTTGTTGCTTGGCCGGAGGGATCAATGACAAGCGGATAGCGATGCTGAGCCCGTTCTAGGATGATGGCATTTTCAAGACACAGTTGATCATTAGGCAGCCCATGGCTGGCCCAAGCCAGTTGTTGCGTGGGATGTGCGAGATAATCAGTAAGAGAGAGGTCAGGTCGGTACGAAAGTCGAAGGGCACTTAAAATTGAAGCCCATTCCGCCAATAGCCTCTGTCGATATTTGTAGTCGAAGATGCCCGCGTATGTGAGGAAGGCTGCTGAGAGTAAGGCGTCTCCAGCAAGGGAAGAAAGTTGTCGTTGAAACGAAGCAGAAGAGGCATGCCAGCGTTCTTTTTCACTGGCAAAGCTGGCTAGCAGAGCTTCGGCACGTTTGACTTTGTTGGCCACCACGTCCATCTCGCCTTTGATGCCCTCAATATCCCGAATGGCCTGGGCATATTCGGCTTTGTATAGCGCGATAGAATTTTCTAGGAGCGTGATCTCACCCTCAATTTTGGTTTGCCGGTCTTGGAGCTTTTCGCTCTCCATTTGCAATGCAGCCACCTCTTCACGCAAGGGCTGAACACGTCGGAGAATGGCGGAATAGTTCAGAAGGGATACAACCCACTTGTTGAGAGGTCCACAGGCCGTACTTGCCCGCTGGACAGCATCGTATTCGAATTCTTCTAAGCCCAGGTAGAGGTCTTGAAGATCCTTAACCTGCTTCGGTGTAATGCCCTCCGGGTCGAAGTTCACGACTGTGGCAATAAAATCATCCCTACGGATGACCTTGCGCACGTCATTCCAGTCCCGTTTCTCCTCCCCCAGTAAGATCAAAACGGCTTCCAGCGTTAGACGGACAGGGTTGGGAGGTCGGGCTAAGACTCGTACTTCATCTAAATGTGCTTTTTTGATCGAATTGACTGCTTTTTGAGCGCCTAACAATGCCGGCTCTGCCTCCGCCAACTCATTTTCTACCTCCTTCCGTCGCCCAGCAATCGTCTCGTTTTGTCGCGATAACTCTTGTGCCACCTGGTCCGCCGAAGCTTTCTTTCTTTCGGCTTCGTTTTGGTCCTCCACCATTTGTCTCAGCTTTTGGTTGGCCATCGCGTCCTTCCGGCTCAATTCTATTTTCTTGCGTGCAAGGGCGGCCTGGCGATCTTTCACATCTTTTTGGGTAGCTGCGAATTTTTCCAGTCCCATATTGATATGTAATTGTTGATCCTCCAAACGGGATCGCTTCTCACCCATCACCGACACAAAATTACGAATCAGATCCAAAAAATCTCGCGGGCTCAAAAATTGCGACGGCCCTTACCGCGTGACCTGCCCCCCCTTTCCGCCTTTTGCACGTGTTCGATCACCTGCTTGGCCGTCCGGTGCGTCGCAACAAGTGCGGCAACGACGGTATGGTGGACTGTGGGCTGTGGCTCCACACCCCCGGGGTTTTTCGCCGAGACACACGCGGAGTCTTCGGGCGGGATGCTTGGGATGTCCTCTTCTTTCCTCGCATCGTTTTCCGAGTCGTACAAGAACTCCACGACCTCCATCAGCGCCTCTGCCTTTCCTTTCTGGCCGTCGCAAGCCTTTGTCAAGGCTACCTCCCCGCCGCCCAAGTCCAAGGACAAGGTGAACGCGTGAGCCACCTCCGCGAGGGCCCGCGAGGACCACGTCCCAAACCAATCGATGACACATCGGTTGAACAAAGCCGGAGACGTGGACGACCGGGAGGCGAAGACCTCCTCCTCTTGTCCAGAAGGGTTCATCGTGAAGATTACGTGCAAATTTCGCTGCACGTTTCGGACGAAACGTCGATAAAGCTCTTCCTCTGATTCTTCGTCCCCTGCTGTCCCCCGCCCTCCTCCCTCGGTTGGTGAACTTCCCAGCAAGCCATGGCCGTACACGTTCTTTCCAGAGCCTCCGACCCCCTGGCTGTTCCCCCCCACCTCTGACATAGCTCTATATGACGCGATCAGAGACTGGTACTCTTCCCCTTCGAATAGACCCGGGACTTCTCCCGAGGCAAGCAGGGCATTCATTCGTTCCAAGAAGGCCGAAGAGAGCGCATTGCTTTCGTCAAATATAAAGCAGATTTTTTCTCCGCCAGTTCCGGCACGTTTCAGGACGAAGCGCAAGTCCTCGTCAAAACGATCGAGGGTGTATTGGTAGGAGGCTTTGACCTGAGAAATGTTTTTTTTTTAGCACGGAAGGGTTGGGTGAGATTGACGTCAGCCGCGAGAAGAAGGAAAGTATGGTGTGTGGCGTAAGAAGTGTGGGTCCTCTGCAGCCAACGTGATGGTGCTTTTCCCCTACTTGCTCACCTGAAAAATGCTGAGTCCATTTAACCAGGCCACAAATCGCGACAGTACAGTTTTCCCCACGCCACTCTCTCCCACCAGGAGCATATGGCCCATAGACTGACGGAGGACCCGATCGATCCTCAGCACATGCTCCAAAACGTCGTCGAAGATAACCAGGGGAACGTCCAGCTCCTCTTCGTAGAATGTCTTCAACCTGGCCGCCACGAAAGCCTTCAAGTCTTCCTTCCCCACGGACTGGTATCGTTTCGATATCCATTTGCTGTACAAGATGGGCCGGGCCAGTGCCGCACCGGTTGCTTTCTCCCCCAATTTCTCCCTTTTTCCGTCGGTCCAGGTCGGAAAATGTCTTGTGGCTACCTCATCTACTGCTGTGTGGCACCATTGTTGCTCCTCTTCCGTGACCAAACGGTCACAGAACAATCTCAGTCCCTCGTGTGCCCATATTCTGACTAATTCGCCTCCCGCCACCGACCCGTCTGCACCAATCTCTCCATCCTCTCCCCCTCCTAAAGCCTCGTGCAAAGCACGCACCCACCGAGACAACTCTCGCGGGGAATACACATACTGCGGCTTCACGTCTGGTCTGAATTTTCGTTGATTCATGAAGTACAAGTCCAGCATGGCGTCCGTGACAGGGTCGACAAAGCCAGCCAAGGAAGGCTGACGGCGTAAAATTGCATTCGTGTAGGTCCGATAGATTTGCCGGAGAGATGGAGGAGAAGGCGAGTCCACCAAAAGGACAGGTGCGTGCCGCAGGAAACGCAGAGACAAGGGGACCCGCCCCGCGTCTGTCGGTGGGTTGCAAGCCCCGACAAACTGGATCCGATTCAAGCTTACCCAGGCATTATCCTGTGTACGCCAAAAGCCACCTTGTTCCACACACTGCCTAAGGAGGGCAATGACCCGCTGCGTCCCATAACGATCTCTTTCCGGTAAATTGATCTCGTCGCAGAAAATGACCAACCAGCGTGAATCCGCCCGTGTCCCCCTCGCTTGCCCACCCAAGGCAGCAGTGGGCTGAAGTACCACGCCTCGAGGGCTTTGAACGTATTCACAATGTTGGGCAAAAGTTTTCATCAACAGCTCCGGTCCGGTTCCAGAAGAGAAATTCAAGGCAGCTAAGGTTACATTCGGCATCGATTGCAGTGTGGACATGAGAGTAATGCTTTTCCCTGACCCGGGCGGTCCACACAAGAGCAGCGGTTGCCGAGAAGACAGCCACGCCCGTATAATGTCCGTGTGCCGGAGAGTATCAGTCGTGGGAATGACCAGGTCTGAACGCAGGACACTACGGGCATCCAAAACTAAGCGAGGGACAGAGGCAGCCCACTCTATCCACTCCCCGTCCTGAACCCGCACCTGTAAGGCCAGCAACGAAGAGCACCCTGCTGGTAAGGGCCACGGACTGTATCGTAGAAGCAGGGCTGATAACGCTTCGCGTTTGTCTTCCCCCAATGAACTTCCCAAGCCCCAGAGCGCTGCAAATAACAGGTATCTAAGCGCGAATGCCTCTATGTGCTCTTCAAGCATGATTCCTATTCCTTTCTTGGTGCTACTTTCCCTTGTGGCCTCTGGATGAGCCTCCTCATCGTATTCGACAGCCAGCGCTATCCCACGCTTTAGCAAAGAAAAGAATGTCTCCAGTAGTCGTCCTCGTTCCGTGACCATCACGTGGTTCCCAGCTGCAGCCTCTTCTAGCGAAAAATGCAATGCAGCGTAGACTAGCCCCTCCCCTGCGTCTACCATTTTCTGTCCTTCTTCCTGCGTCTTTCCCAGTACCCATGGTTCGATGGTCTGCACGAAAAGGGATTGGACAGGCGAAACCCGAGAGCTCAGGACATCTACTGCTTGATCCCGTTCCTCGACGTCCATCCCTTCTTCCGCTGTCCAGGTCGGTAGTAAGGGCGCGATCATCGAGAGTGGCTCTCCAGATGGACTGTTACAGCTGTTTCTTTTCAGTCGCTCCATGTGTGCTTTGATCAGCATTGTTTCTGTGACGTTCCCCTCCGCAAACCACACCATGCCGCACCGTGAAACCGTCGCCGGTGTGGCATAACCCAACGAATCTACTTCCAGCAATATCCGTACGTGAGGAGGAAGCTCCAAGCGCTCCCCGTTGGGCAAGGTCAAAAGCCTGTTATCATCTAAAACAGAATTCAAGTTTTCGGCCCACTCGGGGTCCACATCCCCGTCGAAAACTACCCAATGTGACTTCTCCTGCTCGCCCCGAGCGTTTTCAAGGATTTGACGGATGAGGGAGGTGAAGACGCCGTCCTTCCATTCCAGAGTGGTCTTGTCCAGCACCCCAAACAGTTCTTCCTTACTCAGTGCTTTCGGCTCGATCACATACGCCTCCCCTTTTCTCCCCTTTGCTGCTCCGTGTCCCTCCCCCACGAGAGCCTCCGCTTCCAGAAGGACTTGCCAGGCACTTGTCTTGCCCGAACCCGTGGAGCCGACCAACATAACTCCGTGTCGCAGCGCCAAGACACCTCGAAGTTGCAACACTTTCTCCATGAAGCCCTGTCCCGGAATGAGCCCCCTTCCTTTGCAAACGTGCACGACCGCCTTCCGGAAGACCCCACTATCTGGGTCAATATTTCCTATCCAGCCTCCTTGTCCTCCCGGCTTTTCACCTGTGGGAAAGACGCATCGCAACAAGTCCTTAAACATCGCTACATCCTCACCGACCAATTTCGGTAAGACCGTAGTACATGCACTCTCAATGAGCACCCTGGCTTCAATGTCCTGCATGCCTCTCTCTTGAAATATCCCTGCGCTTCCCAACATCTTCCTTTTCAAGCCCCCGGCCCCGACCAAGACGGTCTTCAAGGCCCTCAATCCGAAGTCATAATGAACTTGTTTGGAAAACTGCTCGCCACATAATTGAAATAGCATGACTACTTTTTTGGCAAGCTTTTCCGCGGTTTCCAGTCCCTGTGCGAAGAGCATGACCTCAGCAATCATCCCATTGTCGGGGGCAGTCATGGCGATGGACCTGAAAAGCGCTTTCAAATTATCGGGCAAATGCGAGCGGCCCGCGTAGCCAGGGTTCATGGTAATGAAGACCCCAACATTCTGATGGAGGGAAATCGCGTCCCCTCCACCACCTTCCCCTCCTTTTAAAAGGTCGATAGAAGATGTTCCCGATGCCAATGCTCGCTGGATGGTCATAATTTGCTGGGAAACGGCGGATAAGATCCGTTCTTCCAATCGATTGAACTCATCGAAACAGCCCCAGGCTCCGACTTGGCACAAGCCGGCAAGCAAACGACCCATCGCTGAGAAATCAAAGCGCTCATCGCAATTGAAGACCAGGACAAATCTACCGATAGCGGCGCCCAAAGCTTTGACGCTTTCTGTTTTCCCCGTGCCCGCAGGTCCAAAGGGATTGCCACCCATCTTGTGAAGAAGAGCTTGAGAGAGTGTCAAGTAACACTTGTGGGTAAGGGGAGTCTCGACTAAGCGCTCTGCCATCCCCAGGTACTCGAAGCCGTATTCGAAATCGGCGTTGGCTATCTGGACGTGCAAATTTCCCTTTCCTTGTGCGCTCGCAGCTTTATGGTCACCGCCGTTTTGTACAAGTCTCTTTGGAGGATCCCAATAATATCGGAGATACTGCAACCATGCGTAAGCCTCGGGTGAGGCAGTAGAGGAAGAGACGAGTCTGCGGATGACATCACGTTGGTGGACCAGCTCCGTGATGAGATGTTCGAATTTCTTCCGCTTCTGTGGGTGCACGTTCGCCGCCAGAACATACTGTACACTGGCCAGAAGGCGTGTCGAAAGGCTGGCTAAAGGACCGTCTTTTAAAGCTGTGGCAGCTTCAAGGGCAGAAGAGGCAGAGGAAACTTTCCCTTTCATGAGCGCTGCCTCGACCGATCTGGTCCAGGTAACCTGTACAGCAAGCAATACCACCTGCGTCGGGTAAGACTCTACCCATGAGACAAATCCCTCCTCTTGTTCGTCTTTGCCATCGACGTCTTTGATCGCGTCGGCGAGTAGGTGCGAAAGCGTCTCGCGCATCTCGCTTTCGAGGGCTTGCAGCCAGTCGCGGACCGCGGTCTTTGCGGGAGCAAAGACTACTGGTTCGCGGAGGCCTACCTCTTCACCTTCCTTGCTAATCATGGTCGTGATCATGACCTGTGAGTCATTCCTTCGCTCTTGTTGGTCTTCGCCTTTTTCCACTTCTTCCAAGCGAACTTGCGCTATGGACGCGAACATCTTGGACAAATGTTGCGTCACTCGGTGAGGGTCGGATGCATTGCCAACGATCTCCAATAAGTCGTCGTCGCCCACGAAACAAAAACGAGGAAACGCAGCGCGTTCACGTTTCAGGTAGCTCCCCAGGGCTTTCTGGATCTTGGCGAGGGTCGATTCGTGGCGTTCCAGCTGGGGTTGGATCTGTTCGATCTTCAATATGCCCAAAAGCTGCGGCGCGGCCGCCACCCGTCGCAGGAGACCGACGAAATCCATGTCCAATGCCTTGAAGCGGGCGTGCTCACTGGGTAATTGATTTTTAATGTCCGCAGAGGCCCCGCCTAGGAAGATACCCTCCAAGTACACCCACTTCTTCTGGACGGCGATCCAGACGTCGAACAAGGACTTGAGTCGACAGAGCTTCTCTTCCCAGGCACTTGCCGCTTGTTGGAATTCCGGGACGGCTTCGTAGTAAGGGGACGATTTGATCGCAGCCAAGGCACCCAAATGGTCTTCCAAGCGCGCGAAGACAGCGTCCCACCCACGAATTAGACGGATCCGGCCTCTGTACAAGTTGTTCGACAGCTCCACTTCCCATGATTCCCAAGTTTCACGCACCTGCTTCAGGAAAATTTCCAGCGCCATTTCTCCTTGTGCAGAGGAAAGAGCTTCCGTGACCAAATGCCGGTGGAGGGCGGGGTCCAGAACGGACCACAGGTAGCCAAGGGTGAGGTGCTCGAAGGGACCCCCCGAAAAAGCTGGCAAGGACATTGCGGGGGAAAGGCCGGAGGAGGACAGCGAAGGGTCTTCCAACTTCTTAAGCAGCTTCCGCCAGTGTCGTTCTTTGAGCGCTTCCGTTTTCAGGTCGGAAACAAGGGGGAAGAGGGACTTGTATTTTTTGACTCTCCCCTGAAGATGCGTACACGCCTCGTACTGGCGTACCCTGTTGGGCAGCGCCCGGAGACTTTCCTGAATGGTGTCCAAGGAATTCCGCAAATGGCGAGGCTGGACTGCGGACCAGGGCGTATCGATGTGAGCTTGGATGGTCGCGTAAATGGGTTGCAGACTTTCCCACACATCGTGCAGGTCATAAATTTCCTTCTCGAGTGATACAAGGGGGTCCATACCCCGCCGGTGAACGCCGCCACGGATGTTGGTGGTGGGGGCACTGATGTTGCCAAGTTCCCCATCGCCGAAGCCCTCCTGCACAACACCTTCCTTATCCAATCCTAGCGCTTCCTTGGCGGCATCGAGTCGCACGTGCTCCAAACGGGCGTTGGCCAACGCGTTTTCGAATTTCTTCAACACCGTGATCGCCATCTCGGGGGACGTCATTTCCGCGGCAGGTTTCTCGCGTTCCCACTCCTCCATGAGCGCTTCGATCCGCGCGGACAGCGTCTCAGATTCTAGTCTGACTTTATGCTGAAGGGCAGGAAGATGGGCTTCCAGGGCGTGTCTCCGTCGATCCAAAATCTGGTTGAAATCACCCAACGTTCCCAGAAGCACTGACACCTGGAGCCAATCGGATGGGAATGTATAACGTTGTCGGCGGAGGGTACGTTCGCCTGCCTCCAAAGCAGTTACCATCCGAGCAAATCTAGGCCCGGTCGATTGCCCGTTCGCCACGAAGACAACATCTGCCAACAGTTTCTCGCTTCCATCCCCCCCGGTCCTGGTTTCTTGCGCGCTCTTCAGCCCTTCCCGACCCCTCATTAAGGCCACAGCCTCCAATCGGGATTTATCCTCCTTTATTTGGGCATGGGTGGCTCGACAAGCCTCGGCAAGGAGGAGGCCAAAACGTGCCTGGAAGTGTTTCTGCCATGCGTCGTACTTGAGGTTGACCTGGCCTTGTACCAGTCCGTAGTCGATGACCAGAGACGGCCCGAAGCACCGGCGGGATATTGGGGACATGGCGATGCTGGCCCTTGCATTTTTCATCTCCGCGAGCAGACGAATCCAGGCGTGCAGGTCTTCCGCAGTGGTGGGGTGTGCGTGACCCCCTTTTCCCACCTCCGCTTTCTTCCGTCCCTCCAGAAAGCTGTACACACGCTCCGGCGTCATGTCCCACAAGGCTTGGTATCGAAGCCATTCCTCAACATACTCCTCCGCTTGTCTGACTAGTGTCTGCACACATTCATATGCCTTTTTCAAGAGCATGGGAGGTACCAGGCGCGGAATGGTTGCGAACGTTTTGCTCTCCGCACCGACATTATCCCTCCTTGCCCGGCCTCCTCTCTCTCCTCGGCCTCTGCTAGGTGACATCACTCCTCCCTGTCCGCCTTCCAGGAAGTCAAAGCGAGAAGGCTCCAGCCGAGAAAGTCGACCAACCACACCGATAAGCTGATGGAGGTGGTTGATGTAAGTCGTCGTTGCTAGTTGAAGAGGGGGAGACAGGTAGAGTGTTTGGTTTTGCAGCGAGATCTTGTGGATTAGAGGAGGATGGACAGGAAAGAACGGGACACGAGATTGTGAAGCATGTCTGCTGCTTGCATTTTTGCCATCAGGATGAAGCTGGGGTTGAATACGAATAGGAGAGGTTGATTCGGAGATTTGGCTTGATGTGTCACGGTGATGCACGCGAACTTGTTCCTTTTCGATCTGTTTTACCGGTCGGCACGGCGCTCGTTGGTGTTGGTGATCTTTCAGGACGCCTGTGAAGGACGGTTGAAGGGCCATGGAACAAGAAAAGTTGCATGTCTCACCAGCTTGCTGGAGCTGCTCTTGTCTGACACCTCTTTTCCTACTTTCCTCGCTGTTGTCCTGGAATGTAGCCACCCATGCCTCAAGCGCGTGCTGCAACCGGAGAGTCAAAATGCCAATCACCACCCTCTCGACCCGTTGGACGAAATCCTCCATGTGGGCGTACCCTGCCATATTCATGTTGTCTATGATGTGCTGGACATGATTGAGTAGCCGACGGAAGGATGCAAAGGCGTAGGGGCAGGCCTGAAGCTCATGTAGATCGCTGTCTAAGGCCTGAAGAAAGGCGAGAAGGTCCTCCGTTTTCTCCTGCAATAAAAAGACGCGTTCGGAGAGTCCAGTCACCCATTTTCCAAAGGCATGGGGTGCGGCGCCCTGCGGATAGGGGGTATCCTCGTGCGAGGATGGAACGGAGAGCAAATGGGCGGATAAAGCCGGAGGGATCGTATCCCAACGAATCGCGGCTGGCCAAATAGAAGACGATGTTCTATCAGCTTTCTCCTTGCCTTTCTCAGGGGGGAAAGTCTCATTCAATGTCTCTCGTACTGCCTTCAGGTGTCCGTCCAAGAGTGCCTCCAGTTCCACCCCGGGGAGGTGCTCAAACCCGCCTTTCTCCTTGCCGTTTCCCTCCCTTACAGTCCCTCTTTTCCCTTTCGATTGGTAAGATAGACGCTTCAACGTCTGTTCGAATGCTTGAAGGCTCGCTTGCAGGGCCATAGCGTACGGGTAACGTTCCGCCGCTTTCTCTGCGATGATGCGGATGGCCGCGGGGATGCGGAAGCCTAGCCACTGCATATGTCGAACTTCCTTAAAAAGGACCACCGTTTGCTCGTCATAATTGACCCGCAAAAATGGCACTCCGTCCCTGTTCCTGTGTACGACAAGTACTTGCTGTTCCTCCTCCTGGTGCTGCTGCACGTGTCGCTGTTTGGTACCACGCGCGATGACGTCATCATGCGTCTCTCGCACCCAAGCCGCGAACAGTGGCTCGGCATTCAGCTTTCGTATCAGCTCCTCACAAACCTCCTTCAATTGCTTCCCATCCACGTGTTTCTCCCACCCCTCTCCCAGGACCTCTTCCAACCTGGCCATCAGCACAAGCAGCTGTCGTTCTAACAGACGCGCCCACAGGATCTTGCCCGCAACGGGCGGCACGTCCCGCAACGTGGCCAACACTTGGGCCTCTGAGCCTTCATAACGCGCCGTGAAGGTCTCCTGGAGCTTCTGCACTGCATCTCGGACGTGGGCGATCAACATGGCTTGGTACTGAGCAATCGCAGCCCGGATCCGGGGTCGATTCACCAGGGGGTGGAAGCGGGCAAAAACGCGGAACATGTCCTCGGCCGAGGCGCTTGTTTCCAAGCGCGTGCACAAGAGGCGCAAAATACGGCTTTCGAGGTTCCCGATCTGGTGGTTGTACGCCTCCAGCGCCGACCGCCAGGCATGCAAGCCCTCCACAGTCAAGTCCAGGACCCCAACCCCCAAGCTCAATACCCGCGCGTACGCGGCGGCCACGTCGCGTCGCGTCTCCAGGCCTACCTCTTCCTCCCTGTCGTCTAATTTTCCTGCTTGCATTGCATCTTCTCCCCCCAAGACCTGGTCTAGGACCCGTGAAAACCGGGCGTGGTCCCCCCGGAATTTGGCCACCTCGCCCAAGCGCTCTTGCAGCTTGACCAGGTCCTCACTTTCTTGCAACCCCTGCACGCGCCCTCCCATCCCGCTGCCCGCCTTTCCCGAGGCTCCTCCCCGAACTCTCTTCTTCAGGAGCTCCAGGTACATTTCTTCGAATTTGCGAGCCCCTCTCTTCCAGCATGCAAGGACGTGCTCCACCCTCTTGTGCTCCTCCTCGCTCCCGGGGGCTCCCAACAATTTCGCCGCCCCCTGCTGCGCCGCCACGACGGACGACAACTGCGCCGCAAATACCTCGGAGATAGCCTCGTACAACTTACCGGCCCGTTCCACGTCGTAGTACCGGCAGGTCTTTAGCTTGCCCATGTGATGGAAAAGGCCCTCAAGGGCCGCCCCGAGCTGCGCGTAGGAGGCCGCAGCCACCAGTCCCTGCAAGGGAAGGTCTCGCATGAAGCCCATCACGTCCTCCACCACCTTCTGGGCGGAAGCCATGCCCGTATTGTTTTCCAAGGACGCTATTGGGATCATGCGCCGGGCTTGTTTCAAGACCAAGACCGTCAGTTGCACGCCTGGACACACCAGCTGCTCCTGGATCCGGCGCAGAGCCTCCTCCATCGAAGCCCAAAAGCCCATCTCCGCCGCCGCCGACCCCGGAAATGCGGTCTGGGAGGCCAAGCGTGTCACGTGCTGAATGTCCACCACCCAGGCATTCACCGTGCTTTGAAGCTGGTTCAAAAAAGTGTCGTCGCGGAGGAGGTACTCGGGCAATCCCACCTCCTCCAGGTCCAGGCGAGAGACGTCCAGCTCCCCGTCGCATTTCCCCCCGGGCCCCAGTGTGTTCGCTTCCTGCAGCGCCCGCTGGATGGCGGGGTGGGGTATCAACTCGGCGCCCGGGATCTCCGTGGCCGTCTGGCATTGCCCCAAGGCCAGGTCCAGCTCCACTAGTTTCCTCTGCAAGCTCCGGAGGCTTTTACTCGTCACCTTCTCCGCATGCTCCATGCCCCCTTCGTCTGTCTGGGCCGGTCGGGCCTGTACTATCCTGTTCAGCGAACCGTGGCCTCTCTGGGGAGGCCCTTGCCCTGCTGCACCCTCCTTCCCCTCCACTAATCGCTGTTGCTCCCGCTCCTGCTGGATTCTGGCCTCGACCGCCAAAGACTTGACTAAAGGCGTAAAGGAATAGCGGGTGTACTGCTGCAAGAGTGCAAAGGTGGCATGCGCGGTGGAGTCCGAGGAGAGACTCGCCCTCTCACCGCCTTCCCCTCCCCCGCGACTTGTACGATTCGGTGCCGGCCCCCCACCGTTCAAAGTGATGATTTGAAGCTGTGTGCTAAGCGGGACGTTGTCTTGCAAAGCCCCTGCGTTCCGCTTGATGAAGGCCAAGACCATGCCCCCAACCAGGGGAGAGGGACTGGGAGATGAGGGGGAGGAAGGGGACGAAGGAGGGGAAGCGGAGCATGTCTCTGGCAAAGCACTCTCATTCCCGACGTCAAAATCCAGCGACAAAGCATATCGTCGCCTCTGCTTCGAATCCAGTCTCGGGCGCACCATGAAGTAAAGTGCAGGCACCCGTGCGTCTCCTACAAATTTAGAAATCGTGTCTTTCGCTTCGGGACCGTCCAGCACCTTCATCATGGTGGGCTCGGGTTCAGGAAGCTCGAACAACAGTCGCGCTGCGGTTGCTCCAATATAATCTCGAAAATGGAGAGCTACACTATCTATGGCAGGCGAGCTAAATGAAGGCGGGTTCGCGCTGTGTACGCTCGTCTCGTGAGGCTCCTCAGGAGGTGGTAGAGCAATGCTGAAGTCCTCATCCACATGCCTTCTGCCGCCGTGACTCATGATTGGTCGCTTGAAAAAGCTGTCAGCCCAGCTAATGTCCTTTTCTGATGGCGACCGTAAGAGTGTCTACATGTAAGGGTTGGGGGTTATGGAATGGGGGTTAAAAATGGAAAGGCGGGCGAAAGCGAGTGATTTGACAGCATGACAACTTGGCGACGGCCCTGCAGCGACTAAAGCGTGCCTTAAAGTACGCGGCAAAAATCGCTCACGGTTCACCCAAAACCTGCCCGGCTCCGACCAAGGCTGAATATTAAGACTGTGGGGGCTGGATGTAGACGGAAAGCACGAGGCGTGTGTCGTGCGGCGGAAATGTAAAGAATTTCGGGAAGGGGGGGAAGAGGAGGCTTTGGGGAGGGTTGGAAAATCTGGCACTGCCTGTTCTGCCTGCCATGGCTATATACATGGAAACCTTGTGCACAAGGCCGAGGACCACCAAACGACGTCATGTTGCACAGGAGAAGGATACATGCTGGATTGGGAGACAATGTGCGGCTTTATCATGAGAGAGGCTTGCGTTGACGCACTGATACAGGATACAGCACGAAGGACTGATGGAACATAGCAATAATGAAGGGAAAGATGTCATGTGACAGAAGCCAGTCACGACCAAACATGCATGTGCACAGTAACAGGTTTAAGAGAAAATGAAATACATTCTCTTGTCGAGAGTCGTCGAGTACGATGTTATGAGGGAATTTGTGGGAAACAAGCGAAATATGCGGTGCCTTGGAAGGGGCACATGGTCTCCTTCAACCGTTTCATGAGGATAATCCTGATAACGCAATCCCAAGGGACGAAATACGCTGAATACGTTTGAGGAGAGGGCTCCACTGGGTCTTCCGCTGTCTGTAAGAGGAAGTCCTCCTGCATCCATGGTGGCGACAGGCATCCATGCGCACATAGATCTCATCCTCGATTTAAACACTCGACTCTGGTCGGACCTCCACGGCACCGTGTGCAAATTATACCGAAGGATCAACGTTGACTGATGCTGTGACAAAAAGCAACTTTAAAAACAAATTTTGCGCGGCGGGCATGCCTTCCTCTTCCTTATCCAGTCCTCCATAAGCGCCCTCGCCCGCCATTTCATAGCTTTTCTTCCCCTAAATGTCCATTTTCCTCCGCACTCGAGCTTTAAATTTTGACTGAAATTGGTGATGAGAAGGATAGGGGATAACTGAGAGATTCATTAGAAAAAATGAAACGTCAAATGAAGGATTTGGGGGGGATTTGGGTGGAAAGGTGTCTTGAGGTGATGACAAGAATTGGACATCCGGGAAAGAATATATATAATCAGCGAGATAATTTCAATTTTTCGCCAGCCTTTTTCAGCTTTATCTAAATGCGCGTCATGCTGTGGCATTTCTATTCATTTGAAGTGCCTTTCTTAATTTTCTTGTTTGCCATGATGGTCATTACATGGATCGTGACGTCACAGTCCATCCCCAGCTCAGCCAGCGCTTGGTGGAAATGACGTGACGAGCGTGACCAAGGCGTTCACAATACTCTCCCTCCATAAGCACCATGGTGCATGCTACTCCTGGTCCTTATCGGAGACGTGTTTTTCATGATAGAGATCACCAAGTGTGAATTGGTAATCAGTCGGTAATGTACTGGGAGACCCCCCATTGAGCTATTGACAACCTCCTGTGCATCGAACTGATTGCCCATGGCATACGCGTTCAATATCCGCCTGAACATACACAGGAAATCGGCACGTTTTCGTCTAAAGCTTCAATTGCAAATGGGGAAGAGAGACAAAAAACGACGCCGTGATTACTCTTCCTCCTCTTCCTCCTCTTCCTCCTCCTCGTCTTCCTCAGGGGGGGAGGAAGATGAAAAAAATCACCGTAAAAGGAAACAAAAGCACGAAAAAAAGAAACATACGCACAAGAAGAAGCAGAAAAAAGCGATGAAAGGCAAGCGCAAGTCTAAGGAGCCCCAAAAACCACAAACACATGACAAGGAGGACGTATCCCAGCCCGCTCAACGCACGATGGCCAGCACCTCCCTTCCACCACCTTCACCCTCAACGACTTCCACAATTCCTACTTCTTCAGCTCCTCGCCGTGAAGCCATGGCACCTATGTCTTTTCAAGCCTACCAAGAGCAACAGGCCCTTGTCCGGGAGGTGTACGACGAGGACACTGGCCGAGTCCGCTTGGTGAGAGGGACTGGCGAGATCATTGAACGCATTGTGAGCAGAGAAGAGCAGCGGTCGATCAATCGACAAGCAACTGAGGGGGATGGACGAAGTTTTCAAACTCAAGTCAGGCGGGGATGGGGGACCCGGTAGCGGGGAAAAGAAAGGGTAAAGAGATAGAAATTGTGCCAGAGGAGTAGGCCCAGGAAGCAGAACGAACCGCACCGTGCACGCGGCCAAAGAGCAAAGATAGCCTTTGAAGTGGGGGCCACGGGGCGTCACTGTTTGGAAAGAGGAAGCAGTGTCGTGGCCGGACGGTGATTGTCAAGTCGGGCCGCTTGGCATGGTGATGCTGGCGACTCATGGCCGAGGATGACAAGGGGAAGGGAGGCAGGAAGGAGGGTACTGGACGGAAGGTGTTGCAAGGGAACAGATCTAGGCCAGACGCGGGGGCAGGAGGGGAAGCAAAGGGAATGGAAAAGTAGACCTCTGTCTCCCCCCGCCTAGGACAGGGTGGGGATAGAGCGTCCCTCCTGTCTTTCTTCCCTCTGCCCCATACTCCCTTCCTTCCTCAGGGAGGGCAATGATTGATGTGAATGGGAACGACGGCGTCCCGGGAGCCCCTCCCTGCTTTTGGCACGCTCATGCTTGTCCGAGCGTCCAACCAAGTGTCCGCAGTAAGGGATGTAATGCCTGTTCGTTGATTGGCCTGGAAACGCTCTCCGGGAAATCGACGCCGCTCTTGGGCTCACGTTCCAAAATCCCCCCCGCTCGATCACAGGGTCAGCCCCGGTCCGGCCAGAAGGAGCATGGCCGTCCACCCCACGCCGTCATGTGCGGGTCCACATACCCCCTCCCCGCCCCTCCCTCCTTGCCCATCGACCGGCACTCCTTCCTCTCCCGGCCTCCGGATCATGGCATCGCTCGAGCCCTCACCTGCCTTCCGCCTCTTCGGGAACCTCCTCCTTCTCTCCCTCCTCTCGACCGTCGCCCACGCCTTCCTTCCCCCGGCCCCTTCCTCCTCCTCCCTGTCCTGCACTCCCTTCCCTGCCTTCAACCCCCAAACCCGCTCCCAGTCTCTTTGTCCTCCTCCCTTCCCCTTCACCGCCCTCTGCCGTTCCTCCTCCCCGTCCTCCACCTCCCCATCCTCCTCCTCTTCTTCCCTCGAGGAAATCCGAAAGCTCCGAGCCTCCGTGATCAAGGCGGAGCTCGGGAGCCTAGGTGTCAGCACGGCCGGCATCGTGGACAAGGAGGAGCTCGTTGCCCTTCTTCTCCACCACCGGACCCATTCGCCGGAACGGAGAGAAGGCACGTCAGAGAAGCGGACAGAGGGCCAGGGAGGCCGAGAAGCGCCACCACTGTACACGGCCCGGGTTAAATTTCGGCAGAAAACGCCGCCTTCCACCTTACCGGGGGGGGGACAAGCAGGGCCGGGGCCGAAAAGCTACGTGTGTGTGGACCTGTGGATCAAGAATGAGAAATATGAGTTCTTGATCGATTCGGGGGCGACGCCGACCATCATCACCGAGCGGACCCGGAGCCGTTTGAACGTCCGGGAATTGGCCGGCGGGCAACGGATAGAGGGCGTAACGGCTACGGGGGGGGGAGCGGCTCCGCGGGTCATGCTGGAAGAGGTCTCCCTGCTCTCACCGACCGAGCGGGGGAGGGCAGGGGAAGGGGGAGGTATGGTGAACATGGACGCGTTGGTGATGGGTAATGAGGGAGTCTTGCCTCCCGGTGTAGACGGGTTGTTGGGGGTGGTGTGGATGCGGTATTTTGGCCTTGTGGATTTTGACTGGGCGAGCCAGTCCTTGACGGTTTACCCCTACGACGTGCGGGATAGGACGAGTGGCAGCGGGGACTTGGGCCTCGTTTTGGAAACGCCCAGCCCCAGCCTGCTGGCCCGAGGCGTGAACATGCGACAGGACCCCATGTCAGGCATTTATTTTGTGAATTTATTCCTGACGCCGCCGGGAGCCAGTCCTCCCGTGCCCGCAATTGTGGATTTGGGCGCCGGGCTCTCGATGGTGAATTGGAGGGCGGCCAAACAGGCCGGAGTGGAGAGAGAAAGCAGCAGTCGGGTCGTGCGAAACGCCATGAGCGTGTGGGGTATCGATGGGACCACGTTGCCCGTCGATCTCTGTGATTTTGAGGCATTGTCCCTAGAAAACGGCGTGACTTTGAACAGGAAACGTATCGGGGTCGCGGACCTGCCTGCATTTGCTCTGATCGGGTATGGATCGAAGCCGGTGGGAGTGGTGGGCATGGACGTTTTGGGAGGGACAGACCCGAACAACCGAAGGATAGTTTTCGACTTTAGGAGAAGCATGTTGTACATGATGTGACGGACATAAGAGCAGGAGGAAAAAACAAAGAGTGGATCAAAATATCCATTCATTGATCTTGCTTCAGTGCTTTTATTTAAAATCATGGAAAGTGCTCGGATGTCTTTCAATTTTCCGTTTGCATTTTTTGGTTGTTCGGGTTAACAACAAACTCGTAATCCGCGTTTCATCAATTCGAAGCAAAGAAAAGCTCCAAATAATACTGAATTCCTGTGGATCACCTGCATAAGTCGTCTCATTCAGTCAACAAACTCATGTACTTAACTCGTAAGGAGGAAAAATTGTGGAAGTCTGATCCTCGGATACGGCTATGTTCCAGCGACAAATACTGCTGCCCCCATCCTATTCGAAATGCACCAGGGCGGCAAGTCGAGTGGAAAGCCACACCCATGCTTCCTCGATTCACCCCGCAATAGGTCCGAGGTGCACCGAGGAAAGCCTCCTTACTAGGTGTTGTGTGCGGTAAAAAGATCCTATCGTCTCACAAGATGGTTACAAGTGACTTTGGCGTT